CTCTTTGTTAATTATTGTGACTTAATTTAAATAACAAAGAACAGCCTCTACAGCAACTGCAACGACTACGGTCTATTGTTTGTCAAGGCGAATGAAACATTAATTTGAATGTACTTTTGCGATAGATTATAGATCCAATTTTCGAGCCAGGTGTTTTCTAACTTTCTCAGTGTCCATACATGGTTTCTTAGATTGAGGCAACATTACTATGGTTCTTCATATTTACTATGTGTTGAACGGATGTTTCATGACACCTTTATATTGCACAAACTTGTCTAAAACACTTAAATCAATGGTTGATCCATGTATAAATTCTTGACTCCAAAAAGAAAAATACCATATGTAGCAATATTTAAAATTGTTGGTAAAACTAAACTCGAAACACTTTTGTTATTTGAATAAAATGAAAATATCTTTCAATTTACTAGAGAAAAAAAAGAGATTGTTCTTAAATAAAATATTATATCTGGATCAGTCAATGATTGGTGTATATTTAAGAATATTTTTCATATTTATGACTTTAATTGTTGCACTGATTACAATGCATAAGTAAATCCAATATGTCGATAATTTGCACAGCACAAAATATTTTATCAGACAGGATGTCACTGACTCATGTAATACTTGCTGTAAATTATGGCAATGTCAATTCAATAGCATTTATGACAAATGACTATGACAATGATAACAAATTCTTTAGAACAAGGGTAATTGGGGATTTGTGACTTCAATAAAACCAGAAAACAAAGTATCGTGTTCAATTCCTTACTCTTTAGCCAACTGGTGTATGGAACTGTCATGTTTATAGCAAGCAAGATGAGGAATCAATAAATGCTCAGTTGATACCGGTCTGGTATATTTGTTTCAACATTTTGTCCATTTTTCAGATGTTAACTTTCTGCCTTAAGGTCTACCTAGGATGTCTTAGTATGTCACGCCCATATCACCAGCCTAGCCCCGCCCCTCAAGAGGTCATATTGCAAGAAATCAGACATAAGACGTTTTGTACCAATCACATTACATGCTGTGGGAATAATTGGTCACTTTTGTTAAAAAAAAATAAACAAAAACGAATAATTCAGAATCCTTAAAAAATCAACTTCAATGGGCAAAACTTTATCATGGACTTATGATTTATAAATCAACATAAAGAAATAATATGAAATCTACCAAATGACAGTCAGTTGTAAATACCAAATTGCCCCTAATACCAAATATGTCAAATGTTTTTTTCTTTTCATTTTTCTCTTTTTTTTCCATTAAAATGCAAAAGGTTTGTTGGGTTGCCCGATCATGTAATATTTATGAAAATTTCACAAGTTTGAACGTACGGTGCCTTTATGTGTACGTGTGCACTTATAGCAGACCGAGGTTCTAGACCAGTAACTCGTGGTATATACAAGACCATTGTTCTGTCTGGATTAACCTTTCAGTAGGCAAGACTCGAGTGTCTGTACATTGGTGGCCGTTCAGTAAAACAGTATATGTTGTGATCTTCCTATATTTTCGTTTTTATGCATTTTCACTTATGGAGGGTTTGGCAATCTCGATATCACAGTGCGCATGCGGAGAAACACATGAAAAAAATACCTTGCTGGTGATTGACTGTCAGCTACTGACAGGCATGATGTAACGTGTTGGAGCTGAATAATCCATTCAAAGTTCTCGATTATCACGTGGGATAAAAAGCAATGAATATTTTCTTCAAAGCTCAGCGAAACAATGCTCGCCATTGTTTTTCTTTCAAAATTGTCTTTGACGTCAATAAGACTTATCTTAAAATATACTTGGAGATTTTATTATATTTATTTTATATGAGTAGGCTATGGATTGGTTCGACGTACTGAGCACACACGCTGGCAGTTTAATTAAATACATCGCCCCCTTGCAGTTATACCATCCCTCTCATACCCTAGGGCGCCCTCTCCCGGCGAACAAGGCCACTGTGCCAGTGACGAACATCGCGAATTACCGTTGCGCAGGCATAGCTAGTTACAACCACGCGAGGAAGATGTAGTATGTTATTTGCATTTTCATAAGCCCAAGATCTCTTAGCATATTTTGTACCCTCAAAGCAAATATATTCAAGTTTCCCGAATAAAACTGAAATTTTAATTCTAAATAACTCCACGGAGTCAAGATATTCAGCTGTCCGCTATGCCAAGTATCTAGCCTTGTACCATACTGAGGTAAATAGCATTGGACCGTAGCGGATATATCAATATTAAATAACCTCAGTTTGATCTACAAAAAAGCTGTATAAACTGGGGCGTGAGACCACACTGCAGAAACCTTACTCTGAGGTGACACTTCAAGTCAGCTCGTTTTCCGTTCCTATTAGTGGTGTACTATGTGTTCACTCCGAATAGAGCTTTCAGGTATGTATTCAGTAGTAATGTAGTAATGGGTCTTATCAGACAGGATGTCACTGGCACGTGCAATACTTGCCAAAAAAATAATTGCAATTTCAATTCATTGGTATATATTTCCATTAAAAGCAAGGACGAAATGACCATGAAAACGGTAATAAATCCCTTAGAACAAGGGCAAGTGATGATTTGTGACTTCATTAAAAACCAGAAAACAAAGCATCATGTTCATGTTCAATTCCTTACTCCTTAGCCAGCTTTAGTGGTGTATGGAATAATGGTTATACCAAGAAAGATGACGAATGAATAAATGTTCAGTTGATACCGATGTGGTATATTTGTTTCAACATTTTGTCCATTTTTCAGTTGTTAACATTTGCCTTCAGGTCTGCCTAGCTCCGCCCCTCAAGAGGTCATATTGCGAGAAATCAGACATCAGATGTTTTATACCAATCACATCACATGTTTTGGGAATTATTGCTCACTTTTGCTATAAACAAATAATACGAAAACAAATAATCCAGAATCCTTTAAAAACAGAAATCAACTTGAATGGGCCAAATTTCATCGTACACTTATGTTTTTTTAAATCTACATAAAGGAGTTATGTGAAATCTACCACATGTCAGCCAGTTACCAAGTTGCCCCTAAAACTAAAAAGTGTAAATTGTTAAAATATTTATCTTGTATTTCTGCACACAACTTACTTCTACAGTTACATTCAATGCAACCCTCCCTTAAATAAACGTAATTACTTCAACCCCACATCACTGTCTAACTCCTTATTTACCAAAAGCAGTTAAAACATTTACCAAGACAACATCATACCGTTGCCATGGCAATCTGTATTAAACCTTCACGATGTGAAAACCTTGTCAATTAAGACCAAGTAGAAACTGACGTTTAATGCTGTGGCCGTGATAAACGGGAGTCACAATCTTCCTCTGAGGGCGCTGTTTAAAGCGGACAATATAGGCACTTTTTGACAATAGGTGGCGCTTTTCGTGACCGAAATATTGTCGACGTTCGCGCGGGGTTTCAAAAAAGGGCATTTGTCAAAAATGGCGCTCGTGTAAAACAAAATGAGTACTTGTGAAAAAGGGGCACTCGTTACCAAAAATTGCGGGGGGGGGGGGGTAATTACCCTATGGCCCTAGAAAGTGTGTTTTTTACTTAGAGATAGGTCGGTGTTATTAGTAACCACAATGCTTTGCGATTTCTGCGTTTCCTGCCAAACAGTGTGGGTATAGTTAACCCAGACATACACCATGTGTGTTCTAAAATGTGAAATATTATAATTCCATAGCAGTTTTTTTTTCTGAATACGAGAATGGGTGTTTTTTTTACTGGGGCGGTTCGGTATGTGTGAATTATCATTTACGCAAACACGAATCACCCTTTTTGTTATTATAGCCTAATGATGGTAATGGTTTCGTCTGCCTTTGTGGGACTTGCTGGTGCTCAAACAACACCTTCAATCAAGCAGATAGCAGTAGGCCCTAAAGGTGTGTGGGTATAGTTAACCGTCTCAGACAACCGAATCTCGTATCGACCAGTGACCAGAGAGAACGACTTTGGAGCTTGGGTCCACCATCCTTGGTCCAAGAAGGAAGCCATTACTATCATCCCTAATGGGTACATGTGGTCACTTGGTACCAACGGGTATGTTTATCGTGCAAAGGGAATCACCGATTGAAAGATTGAAATGGGCCAGATAGCCTTTTTTCAATAACCTGTAGAGCTTTAAGAATTGTACGATACTGCAATAAAGATGTATAGCAATTGGTAGTTTTTAATTTGTTTTTAATAAGATCAACAGAATCTGCAGCTTCAATTTAAATTCTTGTTGTTTTCCATATGATAAAAAATAACGGTAAAAGGACAAAAACACTCCTAAATTCATTGAACAAATTTGTTTCAGTCTTGTATCACACAACAACAAAACCTGACATATGGAAAATCAAAGGCCTGGTACTGCTGCATTGATAAAATATAGGAGCTATGGGACTTCATATGAGTGTTTTCATTGCCTACAAATAATAACGTCACGACGAGACTTTAATTAACTCCAATCAATTCACGTCTGTATTGTACAAACAATTTCTAGAGCAGCAACCGACCACACTAACAATATGGTTTCCATATAAACACCTTGCTTTTGGAATTGACGAATTGTTATCGGCGAACATGTGACCACAAACATCTTTCCCCACGTCCAAAGCAGTATCACGTAGCTGCCTTCAGTTTATATTACCGAGCCAAAACTTAAAAAACCACTTATACGTACGCTGTTCATGGTGGATGGTGATAGATTACTCCGTGTTTCTGAACTTCAAGTTCTCATGAGTAAAGTGGACTTATGGAATGCACAATTCGGACATCAAGAAGGACAACTCAACAATGACATTCACCTCGATATTGAATGCAGCAATTAGGTGTACAAGTTGAAGCTTGTCAATAATATGCCAATTTGACCTTAAATGTCACCAATGACTTTTGATGATTTGAAAATAAGTCAATACCGGATGGATAAGGCACGATATCTGAACATCTGCTCTAGCACCAAGAATATTCATCTCACCCTGGTGATATTTACAACCTTAACTCTTCTTGAAAGTCTGCAACCTGCAGATTGCTGTGGTAACCTCCAGCTAACATTCATTGCAGCAGACAATCGTGCACTTACGACATCTACATTTAGAGAGGATCAGATCAAGTCTGCTGTCCGCTGTGTTAGCTACTGTCATGCTGATAACAACTGTCGATCTGTGAATTATCATAAAACAGATCAACTTTGTCAAATGAACAATCTGACAAGGATGCAAAATCCCGATGATTTCATTACACACTACGGCAGTGTGTACTTTGATGATGATGTATACACATCTCTCTTCTCTGTGCCTCAGTTCAGAGGTTGTGATGAGGTCCTTCAAGCTGGTCATAATGTGAGTGGTATCTACACGATATTCCCAGCTGGATTCAATGATGCGCTACAGGTCTACTGTGACATGGAGAATGATGGTGGAGGATGGATCGTCATTCAGAGGCGTCAAGATGGCAGCGTTGACTTCAATCGCAACTGGGCTGACTACCAGTTTGGCTTTGGCAGCTTGTCTGGTGAGTTCTGGCTGGGGAATGACAACCTACGCAGCCTGACTGAGACTAAAGGTAAGTGGCAACTACGAATTGACTTAGAGGACTGGGAGAATAACACGGCCTGGGCTGAATATGATGACTTTCAGATTCACGGAAACGACTACATACTCCGGGTCAACTCATACAATACCAACAGCACTGCAAAAGACTCCCTACAAACTCACAGTGGAATGATGTTTTCAACAAAAGACAAGGACAATGATAAAATTAGAAAATCCTGTGCCATACTTCGTACAGGTGCGTGGTGGTATACGAATTGTTATCGATCTAATTTGAATGGAAGATTTGGGCAAGGAAATGATGTGCGTGGTATAGTATGGAAATCGTTGAGAGGAAATCACTATAATCTCAAAAGCTGTTCTTTGAAAATTAAACATTAACTTAATAGCCAAATTGTTGCCGAAAGTCAAGGAATTGGATTGAACTAATCGAAACGTTTACATCCTGATCTTTCTGCGGAAAAGAGAAGAATGCTATGTGGTGTTTATATAATGGTTTTCGGATTCTTTTGATAAAAAGTACATTTTGGGAATTGTTTTTAAGAAAAAGTGCCAGGATTCCATTTTAAGATGGAAAATTACATGAAAATAAAGGCAGGAAAATGGCAGAAAAAGAATGGCAAGTTTCGTTATATACAATTGGATCTGGTTTATGAAATAGTTTTACAAATATTAATTTTAACGTTGTGGAAAACATAAATATAATATGCAACATAATACATATAAGCACGCAATGCACCATTCAAACTTAAGTCACAGTCCTACTTCGGCGTTTTCAACTTTTTTTTCCCAAGTAATCAGATTACTACCCAAAATCAAAAGTAAACGTACTTAGATCACAATATCATTTCTCAGAGAATACTGCTGAATGCCGTTGTGCGTTGACACACATAGATCATGTGAACGAACAGAAGAAGTAAATGAGAATAAATGATTAACAATTTGAGGGAGTATGTTATGAGTATATTTGAACATGAATATACCAAGTCGGTGGTGGAAGAGATCTTTCAGTTTCAGAAAATTGAGTTTGGTAAATAAAGGAGTTGTATGTTTAAGTTAGCTTGCGTTCTTTACAATAGGAACAGCCTTCTTCTGCAACGTAAAAAGTTTGTTGATAACATGTACATGAACGTGACCGCAACATCCGATTTGTAAACAAATGTAACATGGTCCATACCAACAACATTCTAGGAGACTAATCAAAGGTTTGAGAAAGGGAAATTGGATCACATCGCATGGCTCACTCGGAAGAGCAATCACTGCAACCTCAAAAGTTGTTGTATGAAGATAAAACATTAGTATTAAAAAGGGGGGAGGAAAAGTTGATTTCACACCAACTTCGTACTTACAAAACACAATATCAATATTGGTTAAATTAATGTAAATGTGTTGGATAAAATAATATGTCCTTAATCTCAGCAACAGATGTGTATTTAGATATCTGAAGAAATAATGGGAAATAATAATTATTAGGGTAATTTAATAAGCAGCGTTGGATGAAAGAATTGCTGATGTTGCTAAAATTTTCTATGACAGTAGTTGGTGGTCTTCTGAGTTGTCAAATATATTCTGAAGTATTAGGTGGTACAGAAAAATATAGCTTAATTATCATGAAGGATGTGCTGACGGAATACTGAGTGAGTAGGAATTGGGAAAGTAGGACATGCAACATAATACATATAAGCACGCAATGCATCGTTCAAATTTCAGTCACAGTCCTACTGGACGTTTTCAACATTTTGTTTTGTCCAAGTATTCAGATTACTACCCAAAATCAAAAGTAAACGTACTTAGATCACAATATCACTTCTCAGAGAAGACTGCTCTATGCCGTTGTGCAGTGACAGTGTTTGCAATAATTAGAACAGTTAGTTTTGCAGCTGCATTAAATGATACCCTTATCACTACATCGGTATCAAAAAAGAAGGGTGAGCAGCAGCAGCCCTCCATGTAAACATACCTGTTTAAATGTAAATGAAAAAGTGTAGAGCTTTGTACAGGAAACAGACAAATACAAAACGTAATTTGATTTTCTTTTTTAGTCACTTTTTTCTTTTTTTCAGGAATGACTTTTAGAAATTTGTGACAAATGATCTACATGCCAGGTGTTTGAAATAGTAAACGTTTTGTACATAGCTTGTTGCTCGTTTTGGGTTATTTCAAAAATATCAAATCAACTGTGTATTTAGGTTTTGACATGAACTGAAGACAAAATTATGTTATTTGTTTGTAGGTTGTTGTCACAAGTTAAGTTTAAATAGGACATTCACATTAACTTTGCAGTTATTGAAGTGATTCTCATATCAAGTTAACCATTTCGGGGATGACATTTTGTGTGAATTGTAGAAATCCAATGTAGATTGACTGAATTATTAAAATGAGTGAACATGTACTGTTATACCAGACACTGTATATACTTGTATATAAACTACACATCAATGATCGATCCAGGCTCTTGAGAGGAAATGTAGAATTATTTGCTTGTATAATCTAACGTGAAAAGAACTTGTTCAGTGTAAATCATTGTAAAATATCGACAAGTTTAAAAAGACATATTACTTGAAGTGAATGACAAAGTATAGTAATGCATACCTGGATCTATCAGTGGTTAGTGGATATACACAATTAATTAGAAAATGTAAGAGTTTAATAATTACACCCTTTTTTTTACATGCACTGAAATATCTAAAATATGACAATAATTTTCACTGCACAAAATAAATTATCGGCCAGAATGCTATTTTGATCTGTGTTTCAACAAGCGTATGGTACTATGCTGCTGAAATTAGTGAGGCAAGCTATGTTAGGTGAAATATTTGGTGTATTGTTATTAAAATTAGTGTTTAAAACCGTTTTAAATAAAATATGGTATTGTGTTAGCAAAGTTAGTAAAAGCAGCGAGCTTGGCTGAAATAACTGGTACCATGCTGGTAAAATTATAGTGTTAGATATATTAGATGAAATATTTGGAATTTCGTTAAAATCAGTACGCATAGACCTTATGCGTTAGGGCGGAGTCAGAGGGCAAAGGTTTCGTATCGCGGGCATAGGCATGAGCAAACACTTTGTGAATTTTTGTAAATAAATTAATGTAACAATGAACAACCTCTGAAATACATGCAATGCAAAAGGTCTATTGTTTGTCAAGGCGGTTGAAAACAATTCGTTTAGATGTAATTTGGATTAGATTATAAATCCCAATGTTGAGCCAAACATTTTCTATGTTCACAATGTCTGAAAATATTTTCTTAGATTCAGGTAAACTTACCGTGGTTCTACTAATTTACCATGTGAAGACATATTTATGTTGCATTGCACCTTACACTGCACAAACTTGTTCAAAAAAATCAATGATTGATCCAGGTTCTTGACTGAACAAATATACATATTGGGATTTTGTTATAACTTACCTCCAAACATGTTTGTTTTTAGACTTAGAAAATATGTTTTAATTGGAGTGAAAAAAAGCCCAATCTATATTCATTAAACAAAAAACTATGTCTGGATCCCTAAATGATTGGCGTATATTTAAAAATACATTTAATATTTAAGACTTAAATTATTGCACTGATTTCATTGCAAACTGTTGATAATTTGCACAGCACAAATATTTTATCAGACACGATGTCACTAACTCATGCTTTCTGTAAATTAATTGCAATTTCAATACAATAACATTTAGTTCCACCAAAAGCAAGGTAAAAGAAAAACAATAACCAGGAAAACGATAATTGATCTATCAGAACACAAGTAATTGATGATTTGTGAATTCATAAAAAAAAAAAGAATATATAGTGTCGTGTTCAAGTCCTTAGCCAACTGTAGTGGTGTATGGAATTACGCTTATACCAAGCACGATGAGGAATCAATAAATGCTCAGTTGATACCGGTCTGGTATATTTGTTTCAACATTTTGTCCATGTTCAGTTGTTTACATTTCGCCTTTAGGAAGTCTACGTAGGATGTCCTCAAATGTCCCGCCTACATCACCAGCCTAGCTCCGCCCATCAGGACGTTATATTGGAAGAAATCAGACATCAGACTTATAATTGTACCAAATACCATGACACATTTCTGGAACTATTCCTCACATTTATTTTTAAAAAAAAATGATCTGTAATTTGTATTTGGACAACCCGTTTGATTTATGAGTCTGCATGAGGTATCATACGAAATGTATTAAAAGACACTGTCAATCGTCCATAACAATTATTAAATATTGGAAATATTTATTTTGTATTTCTGCACACATTATAATTTTGCTAGCAGCGTATATCCAGCGTTCTTACGGGGGGGGGGTGATATTACAGCGGGGAACGCCGATAAATAATAGCATGCGTGCTGAAAGGTAGACAGGCTTTTTTCACTGGTCACCCGGACTAGCCTCCGTAAAATAAATAAAAGTGTGGGAAAGAGGTTGGTTAGACACGATCTTTTTGGTGGGGCGCCCTTCAAAGCGAACACTATCAAACAAGAGGTGACGTTCTTCCATGGCGGCACAATTAAAGACGTTTGCGCGACATTAAAAAAGTCACTTGTGAAAAAAAGTCGTTCTCGAAAAAAACCCACCAGATTTCCAGTGGGCGGGGGCGGGGCCGACAGATTTTTTTATGGGGGGCTAGGGGGCTGTACGCAGCTGCAGACTGCCTAACACCTACCAAAGACAATAAAAATGCTTACAGAGGGTCAGAGACACCATCGTATACCATTGCCATTGCAATCTGTGCCCTTATCATGATGTGACAACCTTGTCGCAAGCAGAAGCTGGAGTTTAATATCAATGATGCAATTAATAGCATGGTAGATTGTGTGCAGCGGCATTTCTATTTGGATATTTAAAGATGTACCGTCGGTAGCTATGCAATGATTGGCAGTTATCGGGCGACCTTAAAAACTGTTGAATAAAAAATTAAATCTTTAAAACAGTGTGACGAATTTTGTTTTGGGAATGCTCTTAAAATCCTTGGGAAATATTTCACAACAAATGCATGTAAAACATTGGTATGGTTTTCAAAAAGAGCACACTCTTTAAACATGCTGAATCGGGCGAAATAAGTGATGCATTCGTGGATGAAACAACTAAACAACTTGAGCAATGCTGTGCTGAAGGATATACGTTTGCTACTTAATGCTGTGTTCCATGAAATACTTGGAAGTTTGTTGGTAAATTTGATTATGCAATTTTCTATGATGAAATCATTAGTGCTATTGCTTAATTCGTTGAACTATTTAATCTACTTTCGGCTATATAAGATAATTGCGGACGAAATATTTAGCAAATCGAACTGCTCCATCTATGCTTTACTCTTATTGAAATTAGGGCCTATATGAGATGGAAACCGCACGACTCCTATCCGTTTGGTCTTTAGACCCTGGAGTTTAAATTGGACCCACGTTTAATAGCTCCACGTTCCAATTAATGGCAATGGACCAAGGACAGACGTGTAGACTGTGTATTCAATGGCATTGATTGTTAACTACTTCCAGTCAACTGAACTTCATTCGAATTACCTGCCTCAAGCGTGCCTACAATTTATGGTAGAGATTTAAGAAAATTGGACGCAATATTAATATATAGGGTATTTTATGGTGATGCTTAAACGCGATTTTCAGCATGTGACCAGAAGCAACCAATCACTCGTTCCCACGTCCATTGGCAAGATCGTACGACCGTGGTATCCACTCATCACTATACAGTACTACACTTCAGTGTTGCGCATCAATTTGACTCCTAGACTACTGAAAAATAATCTCTCTTGCGGAAAAATCTCAGTCTTGACAGGGTCATCTAGAGCAATATTCTGCAAGGTGTTTACATTTGCAGTAACACAGTACTAGGCCTAGTTACATCTGCTGAACAAAAAAATAATTTTGCGATGGAAACTTCATGTCTCTATGACCCTGGCAGAGAGATTCTCAAAATAAGTTTAGTAATCATGACAGTTCTGGTTCTGGTTAATGGATTCCAAGGAGATCACTGTGGAAACCGCAAACACATTTTTATTGCTGCAGACAATCGTGCACTTCAGACTTCTACATTTAAACAGGAAGAGGTCAAGTCTGCTGTCCGCTGTGTTAGCTACTGTCATGTTGATAACAACTGCCGATCTGTGAATTATCATGAAACAGATCAACTTTGTCAAATGAACAATCTGACAAGGATGCAAAATCCTGCTGATTTCATTACACACTACGGCAGTGTGTACTTTGATGATGATGTAGACACATCTCTCTTCTCGGTGCCTCAGTTCAGAGGTTGTGATGAGGTCCTTCAAGCTGGTCATAAGGTGAGTGGTATCTACACAATATTCCCAGCTGGATTCAATGATGGGCTACAGGTCTGCTGTGACATGGAGACTGATGGAGGGGGGTGGATCGTCATTCAGAGGCGTCAAGATGGCAGCGTTGACTTCTACCGCAACTGGACTGACTACCAGGTTGGCTTTGGCAGCTTGTCTGGTGAGTTCTGGCTTGGAAATGACAACCTACGCAGCCTGACTGAGACTGAAGGTAAGTGGCAACTACGAATTGACTTAGAGGACTGGGAGAATAACACGACCTGGGCTGAATATGACGACTTTCAGATTCATGGAGATAACTACAAACTCCAAGTCAACTCATACAATACCCACAGCACTGCAGGAGACTCATTCACATACCACGATGGAATGATGTTTTCATCTAAAGACAAAGACAATGACATCTATAGAAATTCCTGTGCCAAAATGCGCAGTGGTGCATGGTGGTATAAAAGTTGTTATCGTTCTAATTTGAATGGAAGATTTGGGCAAGGAACTGCTTGGAATGGTATAGTATGGAAGTCTTGGAGAGGCCCGGGTTATAAACTCAGAAGCTGTTCTTTGAAAATAAAACTTTTGATAAACCCAGACAATTAATTGTTCGATATCAATGAATTGGATTGTGCAAAATTTCATCAATATTTCTTTTGGGTGGGGGCGGAGTGGGCAGAAATGTTTTTAGGTACGTTTAATGAATATAATTGTTGTTTTTTAGGTCGATCCTCAGGATAAACATGACAACAAAAATGTGACAGTGTGTTCCATAAAATGCAATGTAGAACTGTATATGATAAAATTAACAAACATTAATTTAGTTTTAGTACAGATTTAGAAAACAGTGAGAAAGCATAGATAAAATAACAACCGCCCCTCCACAATATTAAACTCGGGCTATTACATGTAAGTAATACGTAGGTATTGGTAACAATTTAATGCTGTACTTGGCAAAGCTGTAAAGCTTTAAAGCTGTTCATTGACAATAACATTTTTGGAAAACCCAGACAATTAATTGTTCGAAAGCAAGGAATTGGATTTTGCAAAATTTTATCAATATTTCTTTGGGGTGGGGGGAGGAGGGTGGAGTGAGCAGAAATGTTATTAGGTGATCGTACGTTTGATAAATATGATTTTTGGTGGTTTTTTCTTTATTTTTTTAAGATAAACATTACATCCAAATTGTGACAGTTTCGTCACTAAAATGCAATGTAGAACTGTATATGATAAAATTAACAAACATTAATTTAGTTTTAGTACGGATTTACAAAACAGTGAGTAAACATAAATAAAATAACAACCGCCCCTCCACAATATTAAACTCGGGCTACTTCATGTAAGTAATACGTAGGTATTGGTAACAATTTAATGCTGTACTTCATGGTATAAGTTATTCTTTGTTGATAAAAGGTCACGTAGCTGTGTTGGAAAATACATGGTACTGTGTTAATGAAAACAATTAATGTACATTGCTGTGGTGGTGAAATAACTGATACTATGTTGGCACAATTAGGCGAGCCATCAGATAACAGACCGTTCGGGTACCGGGTCCGGTATGCTAATTTCTTTCACCCCAATCGGTACGAAGCCAGAAGCCACCCGGTCACTGAAGCGTGACGCCCCAATCCGTCCAAACTGGTGAATCAGGGTTTCACAATAGGCAACATAAATTGAAGTCTGGCCATTGTTGGAGGATTATTCAGCCCAGCGGCAACTTCTATGAAGCTCATCACAGTCATTGTTGCCTACTGGAGGATTAGCGCGTCGCAAATTGATTCCTTTGTGATGAGCCAGAGCCATGGTGCAGAAGCCTGGTGGAGTTAATCCAGGCCGATCGGTTCCATGCAAGATCCCAATCCCTTCAACATACTGGGCGGGCTCAACCCCGAACGGTCCGGGGAGGGATTCTAATTTGAGGGCTCGCCTTAGTGTCCGTATGCTGTAGTTTGCACTTGTATCCATTCAACACGAGAACGGGGTTTGAAAACGCCCATAATGTAGGTACAGCTATGTTGGATGAAATAACCGGTACACATTCTATGTTGGTAAAATTTAAGTTCACAGCTGTACTAAATTGAATTATTGATACAGTATTTTTTAAATGTATGCGCCCATGTTGGAATTGAGAAGAAAAGTATGAAAAATGACATTTTGATGACATACTCAACAATAATGAAAACTTAGGGGGAACATCAATAAAATCTCAAAGGTTGTTTTATGACAATCTAACAATTTGAAAACAGGAAAATTGATTTTGTGCTCAAAATAAAGGATCTGAATTTATTAAATCATTAAGTTTCCACCAACATTTCTTTGAAAGGAGGAAGGACAGGGATACTGATTGATAATGCAACACTGTAGAAGCATATCATTGGGTTTTATTTGTAAAGAATGCCGACTATCAGATGGAAATGAAATGCAGTGTTGCAAGTTTCATTAAGACAGAGTATTCCAAAAATCTGTTTGTCGTTTTTTACAGTCACTTTATGTATATGTACAATCACAGCAGGATAGCATTTATAAAATAATGACAAAACACACAAAATTCCGACAAATGGATGAACTGTTGGTAAAACTAGTGCTTGCAGCTATACTGGCTAAATTCATTTGTACTTTGTTGGTACAATCAATGTGTAGGGCTTTATTGCACAAAAGTATTGTCTTTGTAAATATATTGTATGTAGCTGTGTTGAGTAAAAAAAAATTGGTATCATGGTGCAAATGAAGCGTATCGCTAATGAAGCAATATGTTCACATTAATGATGGTACAATAAGTCCATACAGATGTTTTGGATGTATTTGTGGTATTGTTTTTGAAGAAGTATTTTCTAACATTTTGGGCGTAGTAATTTATGATGTTGGAACAATGCATGTTGGTTTAATTGGGGAATATCCTTGGATATTTTTGACGATAAATACCATAAAGAATGACATTTAATATACCCCATTGTGCCAATTTAACAAATTACACTGGAAATTACGTGACTACTATCTCACTTGCCTATCATTTCATATAATGTCTTCAAACTGATAATAACATGCCAAGGAATAGGTACGTGACGCATTCAATGCTATTAATATCCAATTAATTCCAGTCAAGTGCACCACTTTTGCAAGGACAGGCAATTAAGTAGAGCAATTGGCCGACAATATTTATTGAATAAGTCGAGTAGGAAACCTGCTATGCACTGGGTAATTGTTACCATGTTTGATGTAATAAAGAGCCTTGAACATGTGACCAGAAACAACCAATCACTCCTTCCCACGTCCATCGGCGATACTGCTGTCTCTGCTTGTCACTTCAGAAAATTGAGCAATTTTACCACACTCTACCATTTGACATCTTACACTGATATCGACAAAACATTTTTTGTCTCGGAAATTAACATACAATAATTCTGAGCATGTTTGTCTACCCCGAGATGTATTAAATCTTGTTAAAGTGTCAGAAAGCCAAATATTTCAAATTTTCTAAACTGATTGAAATCATCTCGATATGGAAATGCCATGTCGTTCATGTCTAAACGGCCCTAGCAACAAAATTCTAATGATCGTGGTGATCTTCACTTTTCTCGTTAATGTGGATGCTTTCCAACGAGATCGCTGTGGCAACGTGAAACAAACATTTATTGCAGCATACAATCGTGCACTTCAAACTTCTACATTTAGAGAGGAACATGTCAAGTCTGCTGTCCGCTGTGTTAGCTACTGTCATGCTGATAACAACTGCCGATCTGTGAATTATCATAAAACAGATCAACTTTGTCAAATGAACAATCTGACAAGGATGCAAAATCCTGTTGATTTTATTACACACTACGGCAGTGTGTACTTTGATGATGTAGACACATCTCTCTTCTCTGTGCCCCAGTTCAGAGGTTGTGATGAGGTCCTTCAAGCTGGTCATAATGTGAGTGGTATCTACACGATATTCCCAGCTGGATTCAATGACGGGCTTCAGGTCTACTGTGACATGGAGACTGATGGAGGGGGATGGATCGTCATTCAGAGGCGTCAAGATGGCAGTGTTGACTTCTACCGCAACTGGGCTGACTACCATCTTGGCTTTGGCAGCTTGTCTGGTGAGTTCTGGCTGGGGAATGACAACCTACGCAGCCTGACTGAGACTGAAGGTAAGTGGCAACTACGAATTGACTTAGAGGACTTGGAGAATAACACGGCCTGGGCTGAATATGATGACTTTCAGATTCACGGAAACGACTACATACTCCGGGTCAACTCATACAATACCAACAGCACTGCAAAAGACTCCCTACAAACTCACAGTGGAATGATGTTTTCAACAAAAGACAAGGACAATGATAAAATTAGAAAATCCTGTGCCATACTTCGTACAGGTGCGTGGTGGTATACGAATTGTTATCGATCTAATTTGAATGGAAGATTTGGGCAAGGAAATGGTGTGCGTGGTATAGTATGGAAATCTTGGAGAAAGGATCACTATAATCTCAAAAGCTGTACTTTGAAAATTAAACATTAATATAATAGCCAAATTGTTGCACAAAGTCAAGGAATTGGATTGATCTAATCGAAACGTTTACATCCTGATCTTTCTTCGGAAAAGAGAAGAATGCTATTTGATGTTTTTATAATGGCTTTCGGATTCATTTGATAAAAAGTAAAGTTTGGGAATTGTTTTCAAGAAAAAGTGTCTGGATTCCATTTTAAGATTAAATGGAAAATTACATGAAAATAAAGGCAGGGAAAATGGCAGGGAAAAAAATGGCAAGTTTCGTTATATACAATTGGATCCGGCTTATGAAACAGTATTACAAATGTTAACTTTAACGTTTAGGAAAACTTAAATATAATAATGACAAATAAGAATGATGTGTTGACAAACACAAATGTCTTGCTGAGCACATTTTAAATCTTTTGACCAAGCTACACAACTTGATTTGGCAACTGTTTCTGAGTATATGATCGGAAAATAATTGATATTAATTCAACCATCATGATCTTGAACTTGGACGTATAAGGTTCCGTAATCAATGGGCAACTTGGGACCCTAAGACCAACCCACATACCAAATTTGAAGTTGATATGCCAAGGAATTGTAGACATATTCTGCAAAAACTTGTCTATAGTTTTAACCATAATGACCTTGAACTTGTACCTATGGGTCAAAAACAATATGCTTCTAGGCACTTCAAGACTAACCCACATACCAAGTCAACTCTTACAATAGACCATGTGCCCTGTGACGTCATACTAACAGGCTACCGAAGGGCAACCGACGGGTAACCCAAACATTTTCCCACATTAAACAGTTGATGACACCACTCTACACCAATCACATTTCAACTGAAAAGATCCAAATTCAGCCGGCAGTTTGCTTAAGTCAAATTACATGAAAATAAAGAACTAAATGTAAACATTAAATGTCACACATGAAGGAAAACGGTAAAGCAGTGTTTTTGTACCTCTCTCTTGGACAGGACAAGACTTAAAACAACAACACACGGACAAAGATATGTCAAGAGATTTAAAAGTGAGACACTGTACAATGTGTAATATGAAAAGAAAAGAATGACTAAACAAATCAGGAAAGTAAATTCTTAAACAAACGTTTTGATGATCGACTTTTTTTCCATTATTGAGGGCCAATGAAACCACAGTATAGTACACCCTTTTAAACCAATGTTCAGTATTAGGTAAACTGGTTCTGAATGCCACAGTAGTTCGCACAACCTGTGGTGGCAATCAGTCCATCAACA